AAAGCACCATCAACGGAAGAAGATTTTAACGTACCTATTGTAGAATGCAAGTCCACGTCATCACAAGGAGGAAGTTCTTCGACAATAAGCTCATCGATTTCCTCACTCGTATCTAAAGGTTGAGTCCCATCGTACACGGGAGTGAGGCCCTTCTCATTAAAGGAAACAAAACGATCCACCATACCTCGAAATTCGCTCTCTAATCGAGTGCTCTCGCGAATAAGCTTCATCGATAGAGTAGAATATCTACCGAGCGGAATAGAAGATGAATCCAAGTCGAGAAAATACACCACGGTGGATTCAAACTTCTCAAGTGTAGCACGAAGAACGAATGGAATCGGGATGCACCTCCAAATATTAAACTCCTCGATGATCGACGCGAGGCTCGCGAGTGCGTCTTGAGTTCTTGCCAAAACTTCTTGGTGACGATCAATCGGCCCAACCTCGGAATGAAATGAAGCTCCAAGACTAGATGAACGAGGTTGTCCAACCGATGGGTGCTCAAATATCGGAGAGGGAGAAGTGAAGGACTCGGTTTCTTCTTTTTCGGAGAGGGAGGCCAAAGAAGCACGAAGGGTATGAGCGTCCTCCTCTAATTTTGCCACGATCTTTTCTAATTCGGTTGGAGGGGCCCGAGTCAGCTCGGGTGGAGGCATAACATCATATGAACCGGAAGGTGGAAGATAGTAGAGAGGCGTCTCGTCATAAGCCGGATAGTGATCATAATAATCGCATTGGGTTGTAGAATAAGGGTGGCTCGAGCTAAGTGAGTTCATCTCCCTTTGAAAATTGTCGGGGTATCCACGAAATGAGCTCCAGGCATAATAGTGAGAATAGGGATCCAACCGGGCTCCTCAAGCGTAATACCTCACACAAGAACAAGAAAAACAACCCAAGGCACACGAGGCAAGAGAGAGAATAACAAAAAGCGAAACTAAAAACACATAATATTTACACGGGCACGAAAGCAAAAGCAAGAGAAATGTAAAATAAGCAAATAATCAAGAAGAACACGCAAAAACGAGCAAAGAGCACAAAAAGCAAGAGAAACACGGAAACAAACGACAACTAGATAGCAAACTTGGCGTCCTACTCGCCTTCCCCGGCAACGGCGCCATTTGTTTAATATATAGATGATGGGCAAAGGATAACCGAGTTACCCGACTCGGGTCGATCTCGGAGGAAGGCTATTCGGAGCTTTGTCTACTAGATGATCGTCCAAATCACAAAAATCGAAAATAAAATCCTAAACATTCTAAACAATTGATTGAGGTTGATTAATGCTAATTACGATGATGGAAAGCGATTAAACGAACAATAAGCAAGTGAACGTACTACAAACTCTAGCAACTAACCGGTGCACAAAGCCAAGGGCAACAAAAAGCCAAAACAAGAGAAACGAACTCCATTTAACATGCTTGATAGCTAAAATTGAAATCCTACCACGAAATAACCGAGCTAGATATCAAGTCCCGATTTTTCTAATAGCAATCAATCAATCAATCAACCCCAAGCATCATAAACGAGCTCACAAAAGCAAGGGAAATAAAGATAATTAAAGTAACTACTAAAATTCCGATAACTGAGCAAGCCTCAATTACTTCTACGCACGAGATAGCAAGTAAGTACGAAAATCGAGATTATAAGGTTTAAAAGTAAATACTCACATCCCTAACGCATGCTCGATCG